GCAGGTATCACACCTGTTCCTGGACCCTCAACCAGCCGCATTGTGTTTCTCTTGCAAGACGTGGGGGGTGCCATTCATTGTGAACTGAATACGAAATTGAAAACAAGAATAGAATAAAATAGAATACAGAATACAGGAATATAATAGAATAGGATATAAAAAAAATTAGAAAATAAAATAGACTAGAAAATAAAAAAATAGAATAGAATATAGTAGCCTTCTGAAATTCAAATTTAGAAAAGAATAGAATAAAACAGAATAGAATAGAAAAGAAGCGAGTATAACAGAACAGAATAGAACAGAAAATAAAATAATAGAATTAAATAAAATAAAGAATAAAAGGAATAGAAAAGAATAGAACAGATTAGAGCAGAATAGAAAAGAACAAATAGAATAGAACCAGCTTTGGAAATTCGAATAGCAAATTTGAATAGGATAGATTAGAAAATAATAGAAAATTAAAGCATAGCATAGAAAAAAACAATAGAATAAAATAAAAAAGAATATTGCCATCTTCAGAATATTGAATTTTCAATAGAATAAATTTGAATTTGATACTTTTTGATTCGGTCAAACTGAATTAAATTTGACCAAATTCAGAAAATTCAAATCAAATTCGAAAACGAATAAATTAAACTAAATGAATTCTGAAAACGAATTAAACAAATTTAACAAATTTACCTAAATAGAATTATTTAAATAATGGATCGAAACAAAACAAAAATAATTTTTTCGTTCTGCACATGTCTACTTAAAGCGGAAGTAAAGTCGTGTTTTTAAAATAAAAAAGCTGGTCCCCCTGAGGTTAAAGCCACAATGTACTAGTATGTACCACATACTAGAATATTATGACACACTTACCTGCAAACGAAGCCCTCCAGCGCAGTGCTGTCATGGCTCCCCTGGCACTTCCACTTTCTCCTGGTGTAAATTCCAGGTTTCGTATCTTTGGTTGATTGAATGGCTGCGCTGTGGTGACATCACTGAAGTGCATGCACGCAGGGGTCAGATCACCGCGGTAAATAGAGCAGGGAGTAAATGTGATCTGAGCTGCGCATGTGCGGCTCAGATCTCATTACCAGCTGAGAGGCAGGGGGGACATTTGTGACAGAAGAGACCACTAGGGTCTCTTCTGTTATAAAAACCCTACCTGTCAGCGGATTTTACATGCAGTAACTTTACTAGCACTTTAATAAGGCTTACATTACAGAAGTAGAGGGGTGGCTATTAGGCGGAGTGGTGATGCAGGTAACACTTAAGAGACTGATTGCAAGATCATTGTCACAGTACTAAAGTCCCAGATATAGCAGAGCCAGCAGCAGAATCCCTATTCTGTCCCTCCTCGTCAGGAACCTATACCTAAAGCTAAATACACGGTCCCTATCCAGCATGGATCCTGCCCCTACTTTGTCCACTTCACAAATGCTCACCAACTGCAGTGAGGCAGTGCTATTTATTAACCTTGTCCTCACTAAAGATGACCACTGAAGTCATCCAGTGGTGCACCATCCAAGAGGAACAAGGGGCAGCCCAGGGACTATGGCTCTTCCTTACCACTCAGATTTGCAGCATATTGCAAATTAAGTCCTTGACATCTTGGCGCAGAGCAGGTGGTATGTACTGATATAGCTCCGGAATGGGTGCGGCATCCCCTGTATGTATAGGGTGATCTATTGCTTCCGTGTACCCATAATCCTCAGGACCAGCCAAAACCAGTATGTGCTTCTCCAACAGCTGATGTAGCAGCCGCTGCTGGGACTGGTTACAACAAAGTTCCTCTCATCTTCCATTCCCTCTGTACAGCAGTCAGCAATACAGTGCCATCTACAGAAGTCAGGGTAAACAGCTACGGGCCTCAGGACCTAGCCAGTGCACAATTGCATGGCTGCTTATTTATTTATTTTTTCTCCCACTGTTTGGTCATCTTTCACTTATGGGTGTGTTTTTTTTCTCACGGATGGAGGGTGTGGGTCCTCGGGCCTGCCCTGTAGTCTAGGGGGAGGATGTGTGGCCATTAGGTTCCTTCCTCCCTGTTCCTGGGGGGTCTTTCTTCAGTAGAGCTTCCTGACCTAGTACTTGGTGGTCGGCTTCGTCTAGCCACAACGAAAGGGGTCCACCAGGCCTTTTGGCTAGGTGGACCATGTGGAATCCTTTGTCCTTGTCAGGAGCCTTGCACCCCGGGGGATCAGGGTAGAGGTCCTACCCCTTCAAGGGTGGACTAAAGCACACCCCTAAGTGCACTTTTTTGTGTTTGTGCTTTGCACTTGCACTTTTTTTGCTCACTAACGGTTTTCGCTTTTCGCACCTCCGTGCAAAGGGGGGGGGGGTAAACAGCACTTGTCCACAATTTGATTAATTACTGCTGGGATAATGGTCATAAAGCATCAGGATAGATGTAAAAGATACAGATTCACAGAATGAATGGGGGGATTTTTTGCACTGCAGGACCTCAGGTCCTCAGAAGAACAGTAGTGACAACTCTAAATCTCCAGAGAATAGTAATAATCAGAGGCAGGGGTGGACAGGGTATGCTTTACATCAGTGGTGGTTAACTGAGTAAATATTAGGGGACCTCACATGCAGCATTGTGTTTAAGGCGTTTCTCTTCAATGTGAAGTCAGGTCCCCTGAGGTTGGGTGCTGCTTAATAGTCTGGCCCTTTTCCTTTATATGGGAGAAGGAACAGTTCATGGTCAAGGTCTGTTTGTACAACACTAAGTTATGAAGATAGCATGTAGTGGGAGTACATTCCCCTCTAGGGGAAGGGATGCCACAAGGCCTAGGATCCAAAGAGGAGCTATATGGTACACCTTCCTGAAGTAGGTGAGCACTAAAGCAACCCCTCCTGAATAGTTTAATGGGACTCCTAGGGCTCACTACAGCCATACTAAAGAGGTTTATACCATGTGGCCCACCATCATGCACAGGTATAGCAGCTCTTGGAGTCTGATGAGGACTGGAACAGATTCTTCATTTCGTTTGGAGGGCCTCCTTTACTGTAGGGCCCCTGCTGCATAGTTCAACCCCAAGAGGCAACTAGGGGGGGCTACGAGTGTCCAGGGAACAATAACTTAGGGCCCATTACCAGTGATTCATTGTAGTAAACACAAGATAAAAAGTCAAATAACCAAATTAAAATCCATGCTCAGTCCAAAACATATAACAGCAGCTGCTATAAAATTGTGATACCAATTAACAAGTGCAAAAAGAAAATGAAAGCAGCCCTAAATAAACAATCTTCATATATCCCATAAGTTAGGGCTCAAAATTTCAAGTCCTGAGCTACTAGCCAAGACTTAAGAGTTACTCGAGAACAGTTGCCCCACCTAGCCCCTAACTTGCCCTCCCCTAATTCCATCCCTAAACACGCCCTCAAAAACTATCTCATGAAATGGAACTGTTAAATGTTTTATGCAGAGTGAAGGAAGGGAAGGAAGGAAGAAAGGAAATGGAAGGAAGAAAGGGGTGGAAGGGAGGGAGGAGGAAGGGAGGGAGGGGTGGAAGGAAGGAAGGCAGAGAGGGAGGTAGGGTTGGAAGGAAGTAAAGGTGGGGTAGAAGGGAGGAGTGGAAAGGCGTTAGGGAGGAACAGAAGAATGGGAGGGAAGGTAGGAACAAAGGAAGGGAGGGGTTAGTGGAAAGAAGAGAGGGGAGAAATAATATGAAGGGAGGGGTGAAAGGAAGGGAGGGAGGAGAGGTGGGTGGAAGGAAGGAAGGGAGGGGTGGAGGGAATGAAGGAAGGTCGGTCTCACATGCTCATTCAGAAGCATCAGAGCTGTCAGCTGCTATGTGTTCTCTGCCCACACTCCAGTCCGTGCAGCTTCAGAAGATGTTTGGGTGGGAAACTGAACACGGGGAGGCAGAGAAGATCCAGGAAGGAAGGAAGGAAGGGAATGGTGAAAGGAAAGATCAGAGGGAAGGGAGGGGTAGGTGGAAGGAATGAAGGGGTAGGTAGAAGGAAGGAAGGAAAGGTGGGAGGAGGGAAGGAAGGGGTTAGTCGGTTGGAGCCAGCCTTTTCTTTGCAACCATCACCCCAGAAGAAGAGACCTGGTTATGAGTTATAGCCGTGTCTGGGACTATGTTCTCTAGTCGTTCAAGGACTGGTAGAGTTCTGTCCTTTTATTGAAGAGCAGCATTCAGAGGAACAACGTAGCTCAAATGATGTAGAAGATTGTTATCCTTTATGTGTACCTGTTCTATGTGTAAGAAGGGAGGAATGCTGCCATGGGTTAGAAATTAGTCAGTTTGGCTGTAAAAAGTCGAATCGGCCAAACATTAGTTGATGTCTGTAAGCACTTTGAGATTTGTTATTGTGTTCCAGCTAAGTGTAACAGTAAACTGTCGAGAAGCATTTGTTGCGGCATTCACATGACTTTTAGAAGCCAATAGCCATTCGTGTCATATGTTGCATTCTTTATTCAAACACTTGTCGCGGCATTCAAATAGGAAATTCAGCATTGGACACAAAAAACTGCCTTGCCTGAATTACATGTGCACCTTAGTGCACCTCATGTACTAAATACAGTATATGCAGCAAATGCAGGACACACCCATTATTTATTTTATACAGAGAAAGCTCTGTGGTATCTTGTATGACTACCCAGTACTCCCCACTCTTCTCTACTGCCACTTTCCCTGCATGCCCCACTTTTCCTCCCTTCTCTACTGCCATTTTACCCCTTCTATCTTCACTCGCTCCCTCTCTCCTCTAGGGGTAGCGGGCGGTGGTGTCAGAGGGTGGTGGGGGATAAGGGGATGTTTCAATGGTTCTGTGTTGCCTAGGGCAGCACAAAAACTAAATACACCACTGCACACAGCACTGATGTAACATGCCCCTTATTCTTAGGTAAGGAAGAGAGCTGCTTAACAGCTTCCCATCCGCCCTATAGTAGAAGTGCAGCTACAGGGCAGCATGGGTGTGCAAAATCATGTATATATACGTGATTTAACATTTTTGGGTAAGGGGCATGCGTGTGATTGGTAAACAAAACCGTTCTCTCCCGTCAGCTCCTGCACACTCCATTGCATGGCTGTGCATAGCACAGCCATACAAAGCACTGTGCTTACAGTGCAGCACAAACACACAGCTCCATAGTACAAACCACACAGCACACAGCTAACCCTTTGATTGCCCCACATGTTAACCCCTTCCTGCCCAGTGCCATTAGTACAGTGTCCGTGCTTTTTATTAGCACTGACCACTGTATTGGTGTCACCTGGGATGTCAGTGACACCGAGTCAGTTCCCCTCAGTGTCAGAATGCCAGCCGCAGTCCCGCTATAAGTCGCTGATTGCTGCCATTACTAGTAAAAATTTAAATGAATATCCCAGTATATATACCATTTGTAAATGCTATACCTTTCATGTAAATCAATTAATTTACACATATTGGGATTTTGTTTAGCAAATACATGTAGCAGAATACATTTTGGCCTAAATTTTTGACGAAATTTGATTTTTAAAATTTTTTTACTGGACATGTTTAATAGAAAAAAGTAAAAAATATTGTTTTTTTCTCTCAAAATCATCACTTTTTTTTTATAGCGCAAAAAAAAAAAAAAAACGCACAGGTGATCAAATATCACCAAAAGAAAGCTCTATTTGTGGGAAAAAAAAATAATTTAAATTTCATTTGGGTGCATTGTTGCATGACCGCGCAATTGTCAGTTAAAGTAACGCAATGCCGTAACGCAAAAGACGGCCTGGTCAGGAAGGGGGGGGGGGGTAAATCCTCTGGAGGGCTGTAACAGGAACAAAAGCCCAGGAGATGATTCTGAGCTTAGTGCTGGGCCTCAGCTGTCAATCACAGTTTCAGCACAGAAGGTGATTTAGATCCGCTGGAGCCACTGTTCGCCTGAGCACAGCGAGCTGCACTGACAGGTCACACGTTGGGTGTCACTGCTTTTGATGATCCCACGCTGCAAATATAGAGATATTAAGCTACAGGAACAGGAATGCCTAGGCAGAGTTATAAATAACATTTTTAGATTTTTCTGATAAAACAGCAATCTTCACTTTTTTGACTATGTGTGGACCAAATGACTAGAAGTGAACCAAATGTGCCATTGAAAGTAGTAATCTTTTATGCAGAACATAACAGTTACCCTTGATCCTTCACCATTTGCTACCCTGTACTCAGCACTGCAGCGCACACCTTCCATAATCAACAAAGCCTAAATAGACTACTGGACATTCCTCCTGCTGCTGATGAACAGGCTTATCTGGATTCAGAATGAGGAAAGAACAAACAGAACGCCATCCCATAAAAAATGTTTAATAAGAAATAAAGTAGGTGTTGTACTCACAAACGACAATAAAGTCAAGGCACATCAAAAAATAACAGCTGGGTCAACACTGCGCTGAGTAACAGTCCGCAATAGGGAGTGTAGACATCCAATAGTTGACGCGTTTTGAGGACTTGCCTCTTCCTCAGAGCCAAATGCCCAAATGTCTGCTCTCTCTTTTTATATGCTCACTACTAGTTGAACCAAAGGTCACATGGGCCGTCCTGGGCACTCCCCTATGCAGGCAGAGGAGTCACGGGGGCAATCGACATAGTGTAAGTAAACACGAAAGATCTATAAAAATATATATGTATAAATAAAACCATTGAAACTAATGACAATCATAAAATCATATGAACCATAAGAAGTGTGCAAATGAAAAATAAAAAATAAATAAGTAGAAAGTTACACATATATATATTAAAAATCCTTCCCTGGTGATGCACTGCACTGCTCGCACATAAATAAATGGATGGATGAATGGATGGATGAACGACGCTACGAAGCTGCCTAGTGCTCTGCTTGCCATAGACAACCATGGGACATGGATTTAATGAAGAAAGTAGATCTGAAACCCAGCAGAGACACTTATTGACCGATCACCTACGCGATCTGAGCAGAAGTTCTCCTTCCCCACCCGGCTGCAGCACACATCACAGGTCCCAGAAGGCTGCGGGACCATTCACAAAGCACAAGCAGTCACAGATGGCTACCCACAGTTAGGATGCTTGCACTGGTGACCGAAGACAAGTGAAAAAAACAGCCTGGGTGAGGACTGCGCTGGATCCATGGACAGGTAAGTGGCTGTTTATTTTTACACAGGTGACTGAAGAACTGTTTTAAGAGACTGCCTATTTTTTTATTTAATTATTTCATGATGTCAATAAAAAATTAAATAATAATAAAAAAAAACATTTCACTATTAAAAAAAATAAAAACCAATATGCGCATACATTCTTTTTGTTCATGGAAAGATTTAAAGTTAACATGATATCAACGTTTGTTTGCTATGGTGGGTAATGCTAAATGAGGAAACATTAGGGACTAGATTGTACACAATTCCCAATACAACTAGCGAGTTGCTAGAAGAAGCAGTTGACTATATAGGAAATATAGTTATATAGGAAAACATTACATTTGACATGATCGCATTGGTTTGTAAAGCAGTAGTAATGAATAATAAAAATAGTGTAGTTCTTCTTTAAATAAATAAAACAAATATATGTGTATATAAATAATGTCACAATACAGTGCAAAATACCAATGTGCCACGGTCACCTAAGTGACCTAAAAAAGTGATAATCACAACAATATACATAAACATATGATAAAGTGTCAAAAACTCATGCCACGTCACTTATTAAAGTGGTATCTACACACAAACACTACCAAAGACCCCTATATAAACGGGGGGAAAAAACAAACAAGTCATAGTGCCACTTCAAATCACATATAGACACACTGGATACTCAAATAGTCCATAAATGAATAGATAGGTGCTTCATATAAACATGCAACGTGCAAATGGTGTATTCAAATCTGTGAAAGTGTCAGCACACTTCTTCCACTGTATCTACAATGCCTCCTCACCTCCTTCCGGTGATCCCAAAGGGCCAATAAGCCTTCAGGATCACCCTGGATCCTTGTCAATCCTGGCTGATATCAATCCTCCTGCGAATCTCCAGATCCCTCTGATATGATGTTCTACAGAATATGTGTCTCACCACCACAGTGAGCAACAAAAAAGATCCTCCATAGTGTAGTATTTGGTAGGCAAAACTCTCCTTTATTTTAAAAATAACAATTACACTCACATTCTATGCAGTCCCCCTTCCTCTCCGATCCGATTCATATTCAACAGAACATCATATCAGAGGGATCTGGAGATTTGCAGGAGGATTGATATCAGCCGGGATTGACAAGGATCCAGGGTGATCCTGAAGGCTTGTTGGCCCTTTGGGGTCACCGGAAGGAGGTGAGGAGGCATTGTAGCCACAGTGGAAGAAGTGTGCTGACACTTTCACAGATTTGAATACACCATTTGCACTTTGCATGTTTATATGAAGCACCCATCTATTCATTTATGGACTATTTGAGTATCCAGTGTGTCTATATGTGATTTGAAATGGCACTATCACTTGTTTTTTCCCCCGTTTATATAGGGGTCTTTGGTAGTGTTTGTGTGTAGATACCACTGTAAGAAGTGACGTGGCATGAGTTTTTGACACTTTATCATATGTTTATGTCCATTGTTGTGATTATCACTTTTTTAGGTCACTTAGGTGACCGTGGCACATTGGTTTTTTTGCACTGTATTGTGACTTTATATACACATATATTTTATTTATTTAACCTCCTTGGCGGTATGCTTCTTTCCGATTTTTTGTGCTGAAAGCGATACCATTTTTTTGCATGGAAATATGTAGTTTTTTATTATAGGCTGTAATTTTTAGGAATAACTCACTGAAATCTGTACAAACAAGAGTCTAGTAAACATTCCGGATATGATAAAACTTGAAACACGAAATCATAAATTATAATTTAATAAATCATCAAAAATAATAATAATAAATTTAATTCAATAATATAATCAAACCAAAAACACTGAAATATGAAATACAGAGGCAAATTCGCACATCGCTGAGCAAAGTTGCAAAATCGTTTTCAGTGTCTGACGAATTTCCCCACGAATCATTATCACTCAATTCTGCAAGTGGTTCTGATTTACTATCGCTGTTCTCTAGCTGGTCTAAAACCGCTTTTGACATAAAGGGACGCTTTTTGGACGTCATGGACTTTTCTAAGTTTCCAGGCAGAAAGAACAGACAAAATGCAGGCAGGGCACAGGATAAAGCAGTAGGGACAAAATATATGTGAAATGCATTGAAACAGCAATGACAGCAAAAATGACATTTTTAAAAAATTTCAAATTTCCCTGCCGGTTCCGGCGCCCATACATCCCGACGTCACAGGGACCGGAACACGAAAGCCGGATGCCGGAATCGGCCTGAGGAGATGGCCGGGGACGCTGCAGGGGACACATCACGGGAGCAAAGGACAAGGTAAGTGCTGCAGGGACCCCCTGAGCAATGCCGCATGGTAAGCCTGAGTGTAGCTCGGGGTTACCGCTCTTGGAACTCAAATTTTACCCCGAGCTACACTCGGGAAAACCGCTAAGGAGGTTAAAGAAGCGCTACACTATTTTTATTTGTTTACGCTGTTTGGGTATCAGTTCAGAGTGTTGGCAGCTGCACATTAGGGTTTACTTCCTTTATAAGCGCAGGAGGATTTTGATGTGATTTAAAGCGGTAGTAACATTAACAAAGAAAACAAAAAAAAAAAAAAAGTGTTCTCCTGCAGGTTTAAGCTATAACGTACTAGTATGACAGGAGACAGTCTTTGGCGAGTCATTTAATAAAGACAAAAATTTAAAAAATGTCCCCCAAAGTAGATCCGACATCAATCACGATGCCTGCCACCACTGCCGACCTGAAAAAACAAAAAAAAACTCCACTATCGATGTTGGCTCCTGCCGTCTGACGGCTGCACCACAATGACAATTCTTAAATACTGTGATTGTGTCACAAGGGTTACCCCTGCCCCTTGTGACGTCACCATGCACCGTAATTCGCTAAAGCATTGCACCTGACCTGTGCTCAGGTGCATTGCTTTGGCCAATCACAATGCACTGTCAGGGCGCAGTGCATTGTGGGGTGCGGTGGGCGAACAGCCCTTACCGTTCGTGTGTCCATCATTCACATACGTTCGATTCAAACATAAAGCCCAATACTAGTTCTCAGTGAACTGTGAGGGCATTGATCAGCGCTCTTTTAGTCCCGGTCGTGTGGGCCGCTTTTTGCACTGGCATGAGGCATTTGAATGGACTCTCATGCCCCGTGACACGTAGGGAACAAGTCCCTGCACTTCTTCCGAAAACGCAGCCTGCACGGGAACCTCGGTTCCAAGTACAGTTGTGTTTTCCAGTGCGGGCGGCGTGCCATTAGAACTGCACGGATCCACAGCGGCACCACCCGCACAGATGTGAACCTAGCCTAAGTTCATTGATCTTCCTGGAGTAGATTAATAGTTTGTCAGATGCCTGACACTGCAACCGTGATCTGCTGATCATGGGTACAATGCTTTACTGGCTCCTAAGAAATAAAAATAATAAATGCACATTCTTTTATCTGCAAAAAAAATTAGCATTTATTTAATTTTTATAGTGAACTTATTAACTTGTTGCCGACCGCAGATAGCCGAATGACGGCTGCACTGCAGCCGGCCAGTTCTGAGTGGACGTCATATGACGTCCTCCCAGAGCGCGCTCTCCTGCGCGCCCCAGGGGGCGCGCACCCGGCGATCTCCGTGATCGCTGTGTCCTACGGACACAGCTGATCACGTGATGTGGTAAAAGGCCAATCACAGCGGCCTTTTACCACGTGATCAGTGGTGTCCAATGACACGCTGATCAGAGGGAAATGCAAGTGCCGGTTCTCGGCTGCACTTTCCTCACGCTGTCAGATTGTGAGGAAAGTACTGCCGAGAAACTGGCAGTTGTCAGAGCGGGGATCGGCACCGATCATCAGGGCACTGATGATCAGTGCCCTGATGATCGGTGCCCAGCAGTGCCACCCGCAAGTTCCGCCCACCTGTGCCGAGCAGTGCGCCCACTAGCTCCGCCCACCTGTGCCCAGCAGTGCGCCCACCTGTGCCACTCTGCAGTGTCACACACCTGTGTGCCCAGAAGTGCCACCTACCTGTGCCTAGAAGTGCCACCTACCTGTGCCCAGCAGTGCCACCCACCTGTGTCCACCCACCAGTGCCACCCACCAGTGCAGCCCAGCAGTGCTGTCAGTCAGTGCCCCCAGTCAGTGCCCAGCGGTTGTGCCAGTCAGTGCCGCCAGTCAGTGCCCAGCAGTGATGCCAGTCAGTGCCGTCTATCAGTACCCATCATCAGTGCCGCCTATCAGTGTTGCATATTAGTGCCACCTATCCGTGACACATCATTAGTGCTGTCTATCAGTGCCGCCTATCCGTGCCACCTCATTAGTACTGCCTATCAGTGCCCTTTAGTGCTGCCTATCAGTGCCGCCTATCAGTGCCCATCAGTGCTGCCTCATCAATGCACATTAGCGAAGGAGAAAAATTACCTGTTTGAAAAAAAAAAAAAAAAAAGTTTCTTTCTTTCCAATAAAATTTTTCAAATTTGTTGCACTTTTTTTATGTATAGCGCAAAAAGTAAAGCGCCCAGTGGCGATTAAATACCACCAAAAGAAAGCTCTATTTGTGAGAAAAAAATGATCAAAATTTCATATGGGTACAATGTTGCATGACCGCGCAATTGTCAATCAAAGTGCGGCAGCGCTGAAAGCTGAAAATTGGGCTGGTAAATAAGGGGGTATAAGTGCCTGGTAGGCAAGTGGTTAAAGCAGTAGCAAACTGCGGTCTTTCAACAAAAAAAAAAAAAAAAAAAAAAAAAAAAGAAAGAAAAAAAAATCCTCTGCAAGTAAAGGCACAATGTGCTGGTATTATTATGAAATATTTACCTTCAGGGCTTTTTTTCTCAGACAATTGTAGCAGGAACTCCCCCTTACCAAGTCACCCTTGTCTTCACTCCCTACCCAACTCTGAGCAACATTCCTAGGTTCCACCCCCTACTCACCTCCCAGCACCACCCCTTTTAGAGAATATAGAGCCAAATATAAATTTTGTGGAATTTGTTATTGATAACAAGAAAAGCAGTAAAATAGATCCCCAGCAGCCAGCAACAATGGACCACCCGCAACAAAATGCCCCCTCAGCAACAATAGACCTGTGGCAGCAACAACAGATTTCCTGCAGCCAGGATCACTAAACACCTCCCTAAACAGTAGATCTCTCCCAGCAATAACTGACCCACCCAGCAACATAAGATTCACCCCCAGCAACAACACATCCCCCACCAGCAACAATAGACCCCCGTTCACAAAGACAGATCCCTCCAGTGACAATAGATCCCCCAGCATCAATAGACTCTGCAGCACACCCTAGCACCCTTTGCCATTACATACAATACATTCAGTGCTGGAACTGCATTCCCCCATGTTCTTGCTGAGAAAAAAGCCCTGCTTACCTTAGGATGAAGCCTTCCAGCGCTGCTTCCATTTTCCCCTGGTCTTCCTTCTAGGTTTGCTGCTCCGGACCTTTGAATAGCTGAGCCGCGATGACGTCACTCCCTTGCATGTACATAGGAGTCACGGTTTACATCAGAGCGCATGCACTGGTCACATTACTGGCTGCATCCAGAGCAGGGGCGGATGGACAACTCATGGGGCCCCGGGGCAATAGGGGATCATGGGGCCCATGTCCTTGCCCAAACTCAAAAAAGCCTATGAAAAAGGTACCAGGGGCATCTCATGGGGCCCCTTACTATCCCCGGGCCCTCGGGCAGTGCCTGAGTTTCCAAATGGTCAGTCCGCCCCTGATCCAGAGTGAATAGCTCCTGAATGCCGCAAGTTTTATGCATTTCAGGTATATAGCGCCGTCAATTTACGCAGCACTTTACATATATATTGTACATTCACATCAGTCCATAACCCTCAAGGGGCGTACAATCTAAGGTCCCTAACTTACATTCATGCATACACATTAGGGCCAATTTAGACAGGATCCAATTCACCTACCAGCATGTCGTTGCAGTGTGGGAGGAAACTGGAGTACCCAGAGGAAACCCATGCAGGCACAGGGAGAACACGCAAACTCCAGGCAGGAGATATTCACTGTACTTACAGATCAGATTTATTCTATGCTTACCTTTAGTTACAAGTTTACTATGCTATGTGAGTGGGAAAATGTAACAAACATAAAGCAGGTGTTATCCTTGGCTGCAGATTCCTGACATGTGACTCATTGATCTGTTACAGATGCTCATGCTGACAGATGTCTTCAGAGTAAGAATGTATTGCTCATGATCAAACAAGAACTGCTGTTTAGAGGTGACAACACTACACCAGCCCTCCAGCTCAGTGCTGAGCAGAGCCTGAGGATTTATCTCCAGTCACATGACTGCAGGGTCAGCTGACTAGTCTCGTGGGCTGGAGGAGAGTGCTGGGTCACTGCTGACAGTACAGACATATATATACATATACAGGACAGGTGTCTACACCCTGATCACCATGGAGGGCTTAGTGCTGACTGTACTGCTTCTCTGTGCTGTGCTCCTACCAGGATCAGCAATCATCAGGTATGTGTGGATGATGATCTATATGTGGCCATTGTCTATCTGTACACTACAATGGTGTGTGGGTGTATGGATGACATGTGTGATGTATGAAAGCTCATTCTCTACAATCCTAGTATGCAGATGTATAGATCTGAGTCCCGCCCTGTGATTGTATTAGCACTACCATGTGTAGCATACTGTAGATCTATGAAAATGTATTTTATTCCATCTCTATGTAGATTGCATGTATTATTTATTACAGGTATTTATAAAGCACCAACTGTGAACACAGTGCTTTACATACTGTACATTCACATCAGTCCCTGACACCAAGGAGCTTACAATCTAAGGTCCCCAGCTCACATACATACCATGGCCAATTAACCTGCCAGCATGTCTCCCATGCAGATTGTGCACTGGCTGGACCCCAATGTGTTTCAGGGTGGATAAAAATCGATTTTTACAAAAAAAATTTTTTTTTTTTTAATCAAATGTATCTTAATATGCTTTTGGTGTAAAAATCTATCTAAAGATATTTTTCTATTTAAGATACATTAAGGTTTCATGTACACTGCAGCTGATAAACTGACATTCAGGAGCTGTTCAGTGTTTTTTTTTTTTCAGCAGCCCCTGAACTCACCCTAATGTTTTCCTATGTGTCCATGTACACATCTTTGTTTACAGTCATTTACAGTCAGTTGAATTTACAGTCGTTTTTTTTGCATGCCGAAAACTTGCGTTCCGGAGTCGATTTTATTAGCGTTTCAAACGCAAACTGGAAGAGTTAAAAAAAAAATTTCAAACGCAAACGCTTTTACAAGCGTTTGCATTTGAAATATTTTTTTTTTATCTTCCAGTTTCCTATGCTGTCCAGAGCCTTTTTTCATCATGAAGAATACATGCAAATTGTTTTCAAGGTACTTAGATGGACAAAACATGAAACACAGGATGTTCCTGCTAAGCTTGTTACACTTTGCAATGACCAATTCAGACCTCTCCCACCCTTGGAAACAAAAGATATGTTAATGACCATTCACACCTCAAATTCCTCATGAAGACCCCCTGCCAGGTGGCCTTAATGACTTACTCCACCAGACACCTTTCCCACCCTTGGAAACAAAAGAAATGTTAATGAGCAACTCACACCTAAGCTAATCTCAACACATACTGCTGTCTCTGCTTCTACTCTCTGTATTTCTCGGAAACAGTCTGAAATAGTTAATAATTTACCACTTTTCAGTGCATTCTGGGCATTTGGGAGGGTTCTCTTGTGCTTATCTATAAAAAACGCTTCTAAACATAAACGCGGTATGCAAACGCGGCTAAAGAGACTTTGTTTAACCTACGTTTTCCAGCAGTCAGTTTCCATCATTCAGAAGTGTCCCGTGTACATGGGGCCTAAGGGTTCATGTACACTGCAGCTGATAAACTGATGTTCAGGAGCTGTTCAGCGTTTTTTTTTTCAGCAGCCCCTGAACTCTCCTTAATGTTTTCCTATGTGTCCATGTACACTACGTCGTTTACAGTCAGTTGAGTTTACAGTTGTTTTTTTGAACGCACCAAACTGGCGTTCAGGAGTAGATTTTATCAGCGTTTCAAACACCAAATGCTTGTAAACGTGTTTAACCATGTTTATAAGCGTTTGCGTTTAGAAGCGTTTTTTAACTGTTCCATGTCCAGATGCTGTCCAGAGCCTTTTTTCATCATCAGAAATGCATGCAATGTGTTTTCCATGTATTCAAATGGACTCAGTACACCAGCGCAGTCAGTTCCAGGTTTTGCGTGAAGGAACAAATAGTAGAACGTGCCGCATTATGCTTATGATGGGATCCATAGTGAATACAACCAGAAAAGACAGGTCATCTCAACACATACTGTTCTCTCTGCTTCTGCTCTCTCTATTTCTCTTAAAATGTCTGAAATAGTTAATTCTTTACTGTTTTTCAGTGCATTCTGGGCATTTTGGAAGATTTCCTGAGGTTATCTTAAAAAAACCCTTCTAAACGCAAACGCTCATAAATGCAGTATGCAAACATGGCTAAACAGACGTTTTTGTAACCTACGTTTTCCAGCAGTCAGTTTCCATCATTCAGAAGTGTTTTCCAAACGTCCCGTGTACATGGAGCCTAATAATTTAGTTTATTCAGCATTAAATGGAGCTTTGTTATGTAGCATGAAGCTGTATATTCTGCAATATTTACATTTTTAGTAAACTCATTCAATGAATCCGAGCTTTGCAAGCAGAGATAACATGCACTGCATTGATGTATTCACACAATTTCACAGTAACCATGAGAAAAAAACATGAAATAAAAGAATTTGAGTCGTTCTTCAACTATGTGTGATTAACCTAAAATCGGTTCTGATATCGCTGTTTTACTAACCTGACAGCTTATTATTCTAAGGCTCCATGCACACGGGGGGGCATTTTAATAACGCTTGTGACGTTGGCTGTGTAGTCACGTTAAAAACGTGAGTTTTTCAGCATTTTTATATTAGCGTTTAGCGGTGTTTTGCTGCGTTTTTTCACGTTTGCGGTTTTTTAGCGTTTTTTTAGAGGTTTCTTTTACCAAAAAAAAATTGTTTTTCACTTTTCTTAAATTTTTTTTAGAGGAACAACACAAATTTGATATATTTTTCTTCATGTTTTGATTTGGAATAGAATGTGTAGTGTTCCCAATGCATTTGTGTGTACGGAAATAAAACCTATTAGAAGGATTTTGAGCTTTATTCACTTTTTTCAGCACACTGCTATTATTTTGAACACAACTGTATATATGTATATGTGATTTTGCGCACCTGTGCCGTCCTGCATCAGTATTTCAGCTATAGGGTGGTGGCACGGAAGCGGTTAACTTAATGTTCCCATAAAAATATACATTTAATCATGTATTATTGGATACAGGGGTGCAGCAATCTGCATCTTTTGTATCTGCCTGGAGTTCAGCTTTAACACTTGAAAGCAATTTATTTAGTCACATTTCCCAGCAGAGAGTTGACTATACATTAATTAGTGTGGTTGCCATGGCATGACATATATTGTGTCAGTACAGGCAAAGATACGGTCACCCACTGCAATCATTAAGGCTTCGTTCACACAGCCCTGGACAGCTGGCGCACACTGAACCGTAGTGTGCAACAGATGCCTATTCCAGCTGCAGTGATCCAGTGGTAGGAGGCAGCTCACTGCATTGAACCTCCAAGGTGCATTGCAGTGTGAATAGTACGCATAGAAATCAATAGTTTTTTATGTGTACAGGTGGTGACCTGCATTCATCCAGGGTGTTAAAACAAAGGTCACCACACTATGTGGGAACAAGGTCTAAAGCTAATCTGCTGCACCTCCGAAAAGTGGTTCATGCTTGGATCGCTTTTTATAGGTGTTTGACAGGCAGCAAGAAACCCCCCATCAACTTGCATTGCACGCAGTTATGGCACATCCCTCTTCACCTGAATTGGTTGCATTCAGCAGCCAACCACTTTTGCTGCAAGAGCGACTCAAAATGCACTCAGAAGAGTATTTTCATTTAAGACTCTTGTAAGAGCATTTTAAAGTGTTACTAAACCCACAACAATAAAATCAGTCTGTATATGCAGTAAAGCAAGCTTGTTATACTCATTATATATAATTAGTGTCGCACTCCACTGAATTAAATAAAATGTGAACATATTCCTAAATATTGCTACTATTGCCTCAATAAATAATATTAGTGACCATTTATTAAGTGATCCAAAAGTGACAACATAAAATTGTATATATTGAAAAAATATATAATATCAAAAATATGAATGTGCAATAAATGTTATGTGATAAATAATGAATATATATAAAAAAAAAATATATATATATAAAAACAAGTCCCCAAAAAATTAATAAAATATATCAAAAGTGTCCATATAAATTAAAATCCAATATAGTGTCCACTTCGTAATTGTATTCTGAACAATCGGGTACACCTTTCTTATATATCTGCTCACTTAAATTTAGCCCAACTTTAGATTAGGCTAAAACAGCTTTTTGTCCTAAATTGGACAGATGAGGAAATTCCAGTGATTGTATACTGTCAGGAATACTGATACACAAGATGCAATGCTTTAATTTTCCCTCTGGGGTCCCTCAGACACTCTGATCCCTGTCTTTGATCAGGATGGATGGATTTCTCCCTTTTTCCTCCAGGGGTCCTATATATCCTTTACTTCCTTTCTTTATTCCTCCATATTTGGATGCAATGAAAGAAAGAAAGATTGTTCAGAATACAATTACAAAGTGGACACTATATTGGATTTTAATTTACCTGGACGCTTTTGATATATTTGATTTTTTGGGGGACTTTTTTTATATATATATATTTATATTTTTATATATCACATATAAATTTATTGCACATTCATATTTTTGATATTATATATTTTTTCAATATATACAATTTTATGTTGTCACTTTTGGATCACTTAATTTTGAGGCAATATTTAGGAATATGTTCACATATTTTATTTAATTCAGTGAAGCGCGACACTAATTATATATCATTTTATTAATACTTTTACACAGGTATAGGAGTATGTGTCACAGTGTCAGTGAACCACAATAATTCATTTCTATTATATTTATGTAATTTATGTATTTATGCACAATAATTAATTTTACCATAGTAGCTCGCAAGGGCCATATAATTTAATATGCTTGTTATACTCACTGTGGAACCAAGGGGGTTAATCCACATTGTGTAAAAAGGATGTTGATCCTGACTTCTCTGATCCTCCCCTTCTTCCAGTGCCCCTCCTCATAAGACATATTATGTGGAGTCAATCTGCATATGCTCAGTTTGGTGTGTATTGCTAGAGAGATTTTTTTTTGGGAGAGTGCATGTGATCAGCACTGGGCCAATCAGCTCTGTCCAGATAGAGGTCAGGGGTCCTGCATCCTCCTAGAGCAGAATGAAAACTCCTCCTACAAGCTTTAACCAGTGCTCAGCTGGACATGGAAATAGAAAGAAATCACAAGACTGCTCTAACTGCTG